TCTTGAGTTCCCATTGTTCGCTCCACTGTGAGTGACGTTGAGCCCTGACATTGCTCGCACAGCGCGAGATAGGCATCTGGGAGATCGATATGCCTATTGATAGAGTCCGCGTGCGAGTGCCATGCCTCCTACAAGAGGCGTGAGATTCAGTCGTCCGACTGACCCAGTATTCGTACGTGTTCGAAATCGAAGCCGTGCCCTGATATGGATGCGTGAGCGGCTATCAAAGAAAGCTTGTCATTCCGTCCCACGGCGAGTTCGTGCTGGTGCATTCTCGTGAGAATTCGTTTGCCGGTTTCACCAACACAATTGGCTTGACCTCAAAGGCAGTCGATGCGGTAAATGATACCGGACTTTTGGTTAACAGGTACTGGGTCTTTAGGCCGCATAAGTTATCTGCGGATTGTTGCTTCCGGCCTGTGAGCAACGCCAATCCCAAATCCGCTGTTTATCTAATAAACCATACAAACCATGCAGGTTCTAGCTACCATTCCAGATACTTGTTATATCCATATTCGGTCGTCTCATGACGCAACTGCGAAAGGTTCTGCCCCTCAATACGTCTCCTGATGTCTTCAGTGTGCCCTCTAGTAGAAATTAACCCCTTATCAGGCATAGCTTTTTAGGAATTAGGATTTAAATATTCCTATCAACTTTCGAACTGAACTTATGAGGCGCGTCATTTAGGAGATTAGGGAGATAAAACGTCTAATCTGGAGTATCTACCAGAAAGCGCACAGAAAAATTCTATGGGACTCTCTGAGGAGCCAAATCCCTTTCGGCTGTGAAATGCAGCAGCATAATGTCGACGAAGCACGCGTCTGGACATTTAACTAGTTCCTCTGCTTTTAGTATTGTTTGTACTGTAACTTATCTATATGCCGCTCGCTGTCTATTTGTAGTTTGTGCATATTGCGTGTTTATCTCGCTTTGACTAAAGGGCTTTGGCTGAAGTATTCATGGCAACTTCTTGACTTACTCCATGAAGCTTAACTCCGAGAGATTAGCTCTAAGTTAGGGCTTCACTTTTGAACAGATTAAGCGTCAAATAGTATTGCTGACAAAGACAAGGGAGACTGGAATGACCATTTCTGGTCCTATTGTCTTCCTCAGCCAGTCAAACAGACAGTGAACTTGTCGTTCAGTGGTTAGAACGTTTGACTCTGATCAACAAAATCGCGAGTTAGAGGCTCGGGTAGAACACCACTTGGGTCTGCGTATGACCGGCTGACGATGGCTAGTAAGCCAGAAATGGCCATTCCACTCTCCCTTGTCTTTGCGGACAATAGTATCTGCCTTTACTACCAGCTGCTACAGTTGTCAGGGCTTCTGTTGAAGCCCAAGCCAGAGCGGGACAGATTAACTTCTTTAGCGGCCAGGTGAACGTTCATCAAGGACATTAAGCGCCAGCGGCATGCCTCTATATGTAAAGTAAATGAATTGGCTCTTTTGCTTGGTTTCATTTATAAAATTTACTACCGATTCGTAGCTTGACTGGTTACCAATCTGGACATGTTGATAATATTTAACACTATTTCTCTGAGAGTGAAAGATTCTCAGGAAGTAGCTATAAAAACAGGTAGGTGAAAGATTATGTTTGAGGGTCTTTTGGTTGTTTTATTAGTTTTAATCATTGACCATCCATTAATTGCACAGATATTGCGACTTTCCCTTGCTCGCAGTCTTTTTTCGGTTACTAAGCATACAATTTGAGGTCCGTCAAGGGATGCTTACAAGATAAGTCTACTTTTACAGCTCCTATGGACACTAATAGTATAGTTTCAAGATATCTCAGAATCCAGACATAAGCAATGAGAAAAGCAAATCAGGTGCCATTTTCAGCAACCAACACATCCATTAGATCCATGCGCTTGAAAGATCCTACCGCTTAACGCCTTAAAGAGAACTCTACGGACAAAAATAACCGCATGTAAGCTGTGGTCCGATTAACCGCTTTGATGGGGGTTTCAAGTCCAAGATCTAAGGTTCATAATCAGTCAGCAAGGGTTTCGCTGTTCAGTTCAGTCAGCAGTCACACGCTGCCAGTTAGTTCAAACGGTTGTCTGTGATTAATCAGATGTGGAGAACCTTGTGTGAATTCGATGTCGTGATGATTCACACTCACGCCTAGCCCTAACCTTAACGACCAAGTCTAATCCCAGACCTATCCATTAACTGTAACCATCACCCCAGGCCGAAAGTTCACGTCAGTGACATGATTGGTAATTTCACAGCAATGAAGTCTAGATGGGGCCACATAATTTATCGACGCTCTTCTTAATTATGTTGGGGGTTGCTATCATCTGCCCCCAAAACTATACTTAGTAACAGGCATTTAAATATATATATCACAGCTGATTACCTTCTGAATAACTCTACCCCAACCTGTATCTCGATTGTCTCTAGCTCAATCCATCGACGAGTGCGCACGATTCGGGCGGCCCTGCAAGGGCTACGAAGTCTGTATCCGAAGGCCGGTTGCCAATGCCGGTCTCAGTAGCGCAAGCACCATGATCATGTCACGTGGTTCGGACCAGATCCTGATGACACCACAGTGCGCCTGTCCCATCTGTCCGGAGGATGGGTTGGGGGACAACGTCTGCGGCACGGATGATCGCACTTATCGCAGCGAGTGCCATCTTCGTGCGGCGGCCTGTCGGACCAGGCATCTGGACCTCCGTGTTCAGAGCAGAGGACCCTGCGGTGAGTAGAACATGAAATATCCCAGCAAGCGTTTGTAGCGGCCTTATATTTCTTAGCCATGCTTTCCTCGGACGCCGCGGGGACAGGCCGCAT